ACTGACTTTGGGATCTCTAGGATCCTTCTAATTCGGTCCTCTGAGGACTTTTTCTTTCTTCTTCATAACTCGTTTCACGCAGTTATGTATTTTTGCCAGTTTTCTTTTGTTTTTAGCCTTTCGTCTGCTACGTTGTTTGGTGAGGTCTCCTTTCCAATACTGGATTTGGTTATTTCTCTGTCTACTTCAAAATATCAGCAGTAAAATAACAAATGTTCTGGGTCATCTTCTGTTCCATAGGTGGTACACATGTTGTCCTCTTTCTTTTTGAAGCGGTAAAAGTATCTTCTGAAGCTTCCATGGCTTGTGAATGCTTGTGCCAGGTAGTAATTAGTCTCACCATGCTTTCATTCTACTCATTTCTTAATATTGTGAATTAGACTATAAGTCCATCTTCCTGTCGTTTCTTTTCTCTAATGGCCTTGCTGCATCTGAAAGAGCTTCTCTCTTGCTTCCTTATTCACCCTTTCTTTCTTCTTCTCCCTTTCTGGAGTCTGCATTTCTTTCAGGTTTTTGTATATGTATGTTCTCTCCTTTATCAGAAGGTCGATAGGGGCTACGCTTGCAAGCACAAGGATGGCACTTTCAGAGACTGTTCAGTAGGCATAGATGATACTCAGTGCTACCCCTCTCTGTAGCGACAGCAGTCTTTTCCTTCACTTTTCTTCTTTCATTGCGCCCGCCAATGCCAGAGCTGCATAAAACATTTTGAACCGGACTGACCCTGCTACCAGCATATTTTCTTTTATCTCGAGCCCTCAACATTTGGCATTAATCATGTTAAATTTCCTCCTGCTTTCATTGCCTTCATCGCTATCTTCTCCACATGTGGTACAAAACTCAAGCAATTGTCAATTTCTACTTCTAAAGAGGTAATGTGTTTCTTCAATTGTATTTCATTGATTGCCACCTCTATTCTCGACTTCCTAAAGCCCCTTCTCACGGTGATCAGGACTGCCTCTGTTTTCTCTATCGCCATGACTAATTTCCATTTATCCAACCATCTTTTTGCTCTATGTAAGCTTTAATTCGCTCGTATCTGAAGGATGTCTTCAATTCCTGCTGCAACTACAATGAAGATGATGTCCACAAATCCAATAATTTTTTCTTCCCTAAGTGCAACATCTTTAAAAAGTCATCATTGAAAAAGGTTCCATATCATTGGGCCTAGCCAAGATGCTTGGGGTGCTCTTCATGTCATTTCTTCTTTATTTGTCTAATTATCTCCTTCATATACAATGCTTCTTTTGCTTAGGTAGTCATCTATAAGATTCTTCAGGTACACTGAGATATTCCATCTTTCTAATGCCTCTTTTACATCTTCCCAGTCTAAGGAGTTGAATGTGTCCCGAATGCCAATTGCTATGTGGGCGCAACAGCATTTCTTCCTGCTGCTACCTTATCTTGCCGTTTTTGCCGGTTTGACTGCTTCCCTGATAGCGTCGATCATTGATCTGCCTTTACGGAATCTGTACTGGTTATGAGCCAAGCTGCTCTGCCCTGTCATGTGCTTCTCCATGCGCTGAAGAATCAAGCTTTCTAGCATTTTGCCCATGGTATCCAGAAGGCAGATGGGCCTATACGATGATGCACTAGCCACTGGCTTATGACCCTTCCCTAATAGTGCAAGTTTCTGATGCTTTAAGTCTTTGGCAAAGCCTGAATATCTCATACACTCAATGAAAAGTGTCAATAGAAGGTCTAGATACTCTGATGACTACTTTCACCTCGTATGATATCTCGTCTAACCCTAGTGCCTTGCCTGCTTTCAGACATTTACAAACTTCTTGCAGTTCATGGATTGTGAACATGTCTGCCTGCTTTGTCATAGCTGTTCCTTTTTCTTTCTGTGTGTTTGGGAAATAGATGCCTAATTATTTCTTAGACCCACATTTTATCATTTAGAGTAGAGATATTCCGCCTCCCATTCAACTTACTTGTAACAATTTTGTAAGGCATGTCTCACGGATTGTTTTCAACATCTATTATCAGCTTTCTCCAGCACATGTTCTTGCTTCTTCTAATTGCGCAGTTGAATTCCTTCCTCTTCCGGTTGTAATCCCTTTTTAGATGTTCATCCCCCTTCACCCTCGTACATCTCCTTCTGGCTGCTCACCCCTTAGGAGAGCTATTTCTTGTGTCCACCAATATTTGGGTCCCCTATGATAATTGCTGACTGTCTTTAGGGGCATTGATAGATTGTAGGTCCTCTGGATAACCGTTTGAGCCTTTATCCCAGAAGAGAATAATTATAAAAGGTTTGTAGAACCATGACAGATATCTTGGGGCCAACAAAGGAATTTGGCTATGAATTCTAGGCAATCTCAAATATTTCTCAAAACTTTAAAACACAAAATAATTATGGATAATTTTTTCTTAAAAGTAAAGCTTTATAGATCAAAATTAGCTAGTAAAAACTCACTTGTAATGTTCATTTCGGGATAAATACCCAAGTCACATTACTCAAGGTTAGAAATCAGCATTGACATTTTGACATTTTACCAAAATGTGTTGAAGCCCTTAAGATCCAGAGATGATGTAACTATTGCGAACTCCAGTTTTGATTAAATCAAAGAAGAAAAACTAGTGGTTCTACAGACTGTCACAGCCTTTCCAGTTTTAGATTTCTATTTCCTTTAGTCTTGGCTAGCTTTACAAACTTGCCACATATTCTTGCCAACTGCCATCTATTGCCAACCAAAATACATTTTTTTCCCTTAATTTTTTAGTTTCGTAACAGAAGAGAAATATTATTTTAACAATATTAAAGAACAGTAATATCATATCATAATAGCAATTTTCTTAGAAAAATTTGGAGCTGTTTTTAAGAAAATGGCTTTTAAGCCCTACTGTAAATTTGCAATTTCAAGCTCTTTTTAAAAAATTTTGAGTTTTCAAAAACTTCATTTAAAGAGATTTGAGGCACTTTAATTCCCAATTACAAAAGTATTTACAATTTGATGGAAAAGGGCTTATTAGCAGCATGAGAGATCTTCAAAAAAAAATTAAATTTTTGTAATTTTAAAAAAATATTAAAAAATTAATTTTTTTAAATTTTAAAAACAAAAACAAAAAAGTACCCTAAAATGAAAACTATGTCATATTAGAGAGTGCAATTAGCACTATCCATTTGAAATATTTGAAGAAAAAAGTTGAAACTGTTTTTGAGAAACTGCGTTTGAGTGTATCTGAAAATGTAAAATTTTGAACTAGTTTTCACAGAAAACAGTTGAGTTTTCAAGAAAATGTATATGACATTAATTAAAGCACATGTACTCATAAATATAATAATTTGAACAAATAGCTGATAATACAAACATTAACAATGTGAGCAACAAGTCAGAAAAATTACATTTTTGTAATTTTTGAAAAAAATAGTTGGATAGAGCAATATGGCATTTATGTCATCTGATAGAGTACATTTAGCACTATCCTTACAAAAGGAGCCATTTTTGAGAAAATCTTGTTTTTTTTTAAATTACACATATTGCTTGCAATATGCGCAAAAAGTACTAACATTTAAAAAAAATGTGCATGACCCTAATGAAAGAACTCACTATGTAGAATGAATTGTATTTGAAGGAAAAATCTCTATCTTTAATTTTTAGTGGTAGAAAAACACAGAAAAAAATTCATACTTTTGAAATTATAAATATATACGTTACTCTGTTCTTAAAAGAAATTTAAAATAAAAAAAATTTGGAGCAGTTTTTGAGAAAATTTTGAAAATGTCTGGAGGGTTTCATATAAAGTACTTCTAAATTTTAAAGAATGTTTTTCGAAAACTCGAGCCAGATGGACAGGGGTTTCTTTTATCTGGAAAAAACTGTATGCATGTTTTAGGTTCTAGTAGTGTTTACAGACGGACATTTTGAAAAGAAACACTTTTTCTGTATCAGGGGACCCCAAAACGTCTATGTTGGTTGAAATCTTGAAATCGATTTTTCGCAGCATTATATAACTTTTTCTATACTACTTATATTACTCCATTTATGAAATACATATAGGGGAAAGTAAAAAGGAGTTTAAGAACATTAGTTAATTTAATTTTGTGTTCAAGTTACTAGTACTAATTGTACGAATTTTTGCATCATATTTCCAGTAACCTAGATCATTCATTATTATTTAATTTCTTTGTGTGGTTTTGTTAATTAGTATTTGATCTATTGCTTTTGTTTTATATATTTTTTTATTTATTTCAGTGTATTTCATATAGGTATGTTTACTGTAATATCTAAATTGAAAGAATTATTTAAATTGAGAAACTACTCATTTTTGCAACTTTTGCCTAGAAATTCAATGTTGAAATCTCTACATGCCAATACTGAATTCAAAAGAGCAATTACTAATTTTGTTCATTGTTATTTATAAATTTTCTAAGAAAGCAAAGAAATCTATAGCTTGGTTTGTTACGGTCTGTAGATGAAAGTAATTTTGTGTATTGTAAGATGTACAACTGGTATTTCAAAAACATTTTTCAATTGCATATAAATTAAATTTTGACAAGAAGGTAGAATCAATATTTTTTTTTACATTTGGATTTCTAGTACTAGTTATTTGTTGCTGCATATGAAATATACAATTTGCTCCTTTCTCCGTACCTGTATTTTATCTATTGTTATTTCCATTGCTTCTTTGACCTCACACTTCTAGTCTGACTAATTGGAAATCATTTTTCAAGTACCACATTATTTATTGAGCTAATAATGTTTGTGGGGTGTTTTCACACATTTTTACTTTTCTATTCAGTTGTGATATCAATCACAGAGCAGGGATAATTCTACTTTGAACTATCATGAATAAATTTTGAAAAGAATCGCCATTAAGAACTTTAGAAGTGATGTTAATAATGAAAATACACATAATTGAATTCAATAATTAATAATGTAATTTTTTGCACACATTTTTTCATAGTTTTGTTACTTTCCCCTTCTTATTCATTATATGAAAATTGTAAATTTACTCTGTATATTTAAAAATATAATCTGTTTTTATTGCAGGTTTTCGTATTGATGCAGTTTGACCCAGGCCTGGAATATAAACCAAACCGTGGTGCGAGAGGGAAGGATGACAACTCCTGACTGCTGCTATGTAGCGCTCTCACTGATGGACCATACTCCTATATATAAATCACTTCATGCTTTGTCTGCACTTGTTGCATTTGCGGGTTAATTACATAAGGGAAAAATATCTCCAACTTCTTGACTACTCAAACTAAGAAATTAACTCTGCAACTCTGAGAAATGGTATGCAAATAATTCATAGCCATTAATTGTATTGCAGTCATAGATACTGTCAATCTGGAACCTCCATGCATGTTGTAATGTAATGTAAAATATATTTCTACATAGAAAACAAAATTGTTGGAAACAGTATCAAATGATGATTGTTGCTTTTTAATAGTTAAGAATAGTGAAAATTAATCATGGTTGAATTCATGATTAAGATAAATTATTTCCCTGTTAATATGCAACAATCATTGAATGGCATTTGTATGTATTACGTGGATTACCACATGAAAAGATAATGGTAAAGAAAAGCCCAAAGCCTACTTTAGAGGAAATTGACTTTTTGTATGCATGGGTGTGTGTATCTGATTTTGTAATTTCTGCCTTGTGTGTGTTTTTAAAACAAGTTGACTTTGAAATGTAAGAATGAATGAGTATTAAGCTTGAATGTCATCAGATATAGGAAAGCATGTGTGATATCCTAATCTTTTTCCTCAAACATGGTACAAATAAAACTAATCAACAAGCATGGAAATGTAAATTATGAATAATTATGTTGGACAGGCTCACTAATTATAGTCTTTCTGTAATTTTGTCCAGAAGTATATTCAAAATAGCTGGTTTGGTTGGCTGTGATACCAAAATATCTTTTAAATATCTGCCCAAACCTATTGTAACGTGTGTTAATATAACTCCGAACTTCCTGTCATTTTTGAAACAATTCATCAAGGAAAATATGAGATGCATTTTTAAGATGTACATCATATATGCAAACTAATTTTTTAGCCTGAGTTCAAATTTATATTTTGGAGCACTTCTTTTTTTGATTATCTGTCAAAAAATAATAATTCATCTTTTTCATTAGATATTTCAAATTGAATTTTATTTTGTCAAATTAATGGACAGTTCTTTATTTTTCACGTGATCATCATAATTTTTACTCTATCTTATATTTTGTTGAGTACAGATACAAAAAAATCTTTTCCCTGAAATATATAATAATTGTAGTTCTGTATCTTTAGCAAATTTGCTTTTCCATTAGATGTTTTCTTCCATTTGACTGTTTTTCTTCAGTATTCGTAATTCGAATTATGTTCCCTAAATATTTAATTTGAATGCCAGTGGCAGTGGAAGAGCCATCAGTCGAACAAACTTTATTAATCTACAATACTAGATTACCGAAAGTCAATTACATGTTATAGAGCTATATGCTCCTTGTATTCTACATTCTAAATTTCAGGAACTTCTGTATTGCAACATACCTGTTGAACCCTTAATTATCTTCAGCTCTTAGTGATGTAAAACATATTATTGTGAAATATATATCATTTTTCCAACCAAGACTTTGTAAAGCAAATTAAAGACTATCAACATTGATTTAGATGGAGAAATTGATGAGCAAAATAGAATGAAAATATGGCTATTTGTGTTTGTTTTTTTACTATAGATTACTTTGATAATATTCTCTGAGTCACTTTGATATATTGTCTATGTGTGTAATTCAGTAGACAATCAGTTTTTTTATGAGGCATGTTTGTATATACCCTGTATTCCAAAACTTGAAAACCAGTTTCCAATCTAGTGTGTTCTCTTTTTTGCAAAATTTGTAATAATTTTTCCATTTTATTTTGTTTAATCACTTGAAGTTTTTTTTTCCTTCAGTATATTCCTCCATCATTTTTCTCTTGAACTTCTTGTAATATGACTTCTTTCTGCATTTATCTATTAATTTGTTTATCTGCACATTATTGAGTCAAATCTTTCAGCACATTATCTTCATGTTTTGAAATCATTGCACTTTGCTGCACTACAATATTTTAATTTTGTGTTGCCTTAATATTCAAGTCCTTCAACATGTCAGAGTCATTAAAGTCCTTAAAATTTACAATAACACTACAGTTTGAGAAATAAAGTCTTTTTGTATGGATTATGGCATCATACACCAAGACTTTTGTTTCCTTGCTCTTTTTTAAAGTAGGCATCAGAGCTGAATAGAAAACTTACTATGAATCATTGCATGCCTTTACATAATTGAAATACCGTTATATTTTTAAATAACTATAATAAAGCTTTACACTTTATATAAGATATACTTCAGAGTTGCAGATAATTTCTTAAGAGATTAGTCTTTCACAGCTTAAATAATAATTAAAGGAATATATGTTGTGATATTTTGGTATACTTTAAAACTACTTATATGAAGTGAGCTGATGCTGTGATTATTTCAAAAAATAACTTTGGGCAGTTATTTCCATTAATTTATATAAATTGTCATAACAGAATTTTTGCACACCATTGGTTTGAAAAATTGACTTCTGAGCCAAAGAGGTTAATCTTGAGATAAATTGTAAAAATTGAATGAAGCTATGCAAAGAAGGAAATAGAAACATGAAACGTGCACCTGTCCTATCCTTTTGGTCTTTCAATGTAAATTGTGTAATGTGATATGTTTTGCATTTTTTTATATACAAAATACTTTCAAGAGTTTTGTACCTTTATTTGTGGGAGGGATATTGGAAGTCTTGTCAGTTTGAAGGAATGAGACCAAATTAACTTATTTAATGACTGAGATACATATGTTACAGTAAAAGCGTTTAATTAATCTTTGATTCATATGGAGTCTGAAAATAAGAGTGTGTAAATACCTCTGTAAATAATATGTTTCATCTTTCAGGGTCCTACCTATTTAATGTTTTGCAAATAAGTACATTTTAAGTAAAATTAGATGTAATGCAGTGATATTTAAAGTTTCCATGAAATGAAATTAATTTTATTTAGCAACCAAAAGTCAGCTAGCTATTCAAAATGCTTTGTTTTTTCATTTTTTGGTTTGTTTTCTTTCTTAAAGCAATCAGTACTGGGAGTTTCATCACAATATTTTAATCTTCTCCCGATGTTTTGAGAGGGAAGTTGGAAAAACTGTCATTGTCTTCTCTCCTTTCAAGTTAGAGCTCTTTACCTCTCTGATTTATACTCTCCAATATCTCTATATGAAAGCCTTTGATTAAGACCCATGTTTAAATGAATGGTAATTTCAAATCCTGTCATAATTTTATTGGATGTTTGTCATTGGAATCAAGCTTTCCAGATTTTGAACAGCAAATAATGCACACATGGCCTCTTTGAGATTTTTCATTTATGACCTCATATTCATTTTCAGTCTCTGCCTACCTTCACATTTTTATTGTTCTTTTTGCTATCTTGTCTTTGTTCTTCTCTTGTTTTTTAGTTATGTGAAATTTTCTTGTCAAGCTTGTTTTTCGTATTTCTTTCTTTGTTTATATTTCATTATTTTTATGTTTGTAACTACATCAATCTTTAAATTAATTATTGAACAATTTGTCACTATAAACTGAAAGAAAATGTGGAGGCAAAAATACTAAATGTATCAACCACATGTAAATAAAAAATGAAGGAACATCTTCAATATATTACAGTATTTGAGATTACATGTTAAATCTGATGAATTCGGAATTCCAACTGTAAATATTCGTGAATAATATTTTCAAACTTGTAATTTTTCTTTATTATATTTTGTTTTTACATTTATTGAATATATTTGTATTTCAATTTTAAATCAGAATACTTTCTCTTGAAGGCAAATACAAAAAGCATTAAGTAAGGGGTATCACACAAAATACTAACAAATTCTTGATTTTGAGAGGAATATTACAGTAGAAATGAAAGGGTTATTACGTAATTGTATTGCTGTTGCAATTAATAATTTATTTATATTCACAAACGAAAGTGATTTTTGATCAAAGGCCGTATCATTATTTTTTGTTGATAATGATACAAAGTAGTAATCGTAATCAGTAATGAAGTAGACAACCTTCAAGAAGGAACACTCTGGTTTACTCATTATGTAAAATATCTCAGACAAAGAATTATTTGTGACAAAAGGATAGATGTGTTGTAACAAATTGAGTGAGTGCCCAAAGTTGTTAATCCCTACATGTGATTTACTGTGTAAGTGCAGACAAAAACATGTATTTGAATGATATGGAGGTCTTGTGGTTACACTCAGATAAAACTGTGGTCCAACAGTGTGGGTTGCTACAAAAATGTGTAATGACTTTACCCCATTGAATGCACACTTCGAGGGAAATTTGCAGTCGTTTGTACACATGCTACATTTTGATTGATTGCACAGGCTCAACAGACACCACAGAACATTGTGCTTTCATACAAAGTGTGGTGAAAAAGTTTCTATATAGACACAATTGTTACAGTAAAAACTTTGTTTTATAGTCAGTCCATATATGCAGTGTAAACTAGAAAAGACTTGAACACTGACCTAGCAAATTCTTGTTGAATGCAGTATTACCCGTATGTTGGGTAAATAAGGAATCAGTGATTTTGTTGGATTTGTACTGTACCATTGTATATATCATCAACTGTCTCCCCTATAAATCTTTACCTATTTGCAGGGGTTAGAGCGCAATACAGGGAATATTGTTAATTTCCTTTTGGTACTCCTTGAAAAATCTGAAATATCTTTAAAAATTGTTCTTTATTTTGAATTTTTATGCATATCCTAACTGTTGTTATCTTCCACTTATACTGAAAAAAGACAATGTTCTGCACATATATTATATAAATATTGCTAATGATGTACAACTGTGTGATGTTTTAACCACAAATGTCAATCTTGTTCCTCAAATGGAAAGTTTTGTCAAGTTTTTAAGTTGACTGAATAATATTTGCAATTTTTAAATTTGTAAATATGAAGTGTTCTAAAATTGTTAGAAAAATATTTGTGAAGCATATACAATGTTGCTTCAGAAATGGTTGGTTGTAATAAACTGTTTACAGCTTAGATAATTTCTTTTATAATTTCATATTATCTGTACATGTATGATATGTACTAGCTAATTGAGCCTTCACCACAGTTTATCTGACATATGTTTGAGTGATTCTGCATGTCAGGAAATTTGCTGGTCTTTTTCATTAGAAGTTTGCTACTACACTGTTTGTCTACTTGTTGTGGCTTATATTGTTAAAAAGAGTGATTACAAAAACAGTTTTTCAAGAAATTAAAGTAAATTTCATACAGTTTATTCAAAGAAATGTTGCATTATATTTGTTGACATTGCTTTTGAAGCAGAATGTTGTACAATAGGAGTATGAATGATGTGTGTGTACATAAAAAAACAAAATGGATTTGTGAGTATGAGAGAATGTAAACACACATATGGTGTGTTTGTTTTTATTTTCCTGTAAGTGTGTTCATTATTACTTAAAATATTACATTAGACATTGTCTGAAAGTACTATGTGAAAGATTGTGTTAATATATCACATACTGTTAAACGTTTCGGCAAGTTTGTTGTCTACATAAGAATTAGATGCAAGATAAGTTCTATGAGAATAAATGAGAGAATAATTTTTACAACTGAAATGAACCAATTCTTCTCACAGATGTACGGTTATTAACTGATTTACCTTTGTTAGAAGTTTATAATGGTTATTTAAGTATTCATAGATCATTCAGTTCACAATTATGACACAAGAAACACTTTCTGAGCATGATATTTGGAAACTATAATTGGGGAACTGCACAATGGGAAATAAATTATCAAAAATCAAACCAAATTTCCACAAGTGATTTTACAGCAAAGGGATGTTGCTTCGGCTTTCTTTTTTTATGCGCTTTCCATAATTCTAAAATCAACTTTTAAAGGAAACGTGTATTTTGAATGCCATATTCTTCCATTTATATTAATGCATAATAGTTTTTTTGATAGCACAACAGTTTTGAAATTCAAGGTCAATTTAACAAATTGATTTTTTTCAATGAATCAGAATTATTCCATTCACCATTGAGCCATTTCAGTATTGCCAGATAGCCTTTGTACTGAAGGAAAGTGTAATTCTATTCCTACTGATAATGATATTGAGCAATTCCTTTGTAATAGAAAATAACCCTATTACACAATACCTATTGTAATGTGCATGAGCAACTAGAATATGATGCAAATTTTTTAAAAAGTATTTTAAAATTTAGCAACCAATTGGATTCTAAACAAAGCATAAAATGGTACTCAGGTTCTGAACTACATGGACTGGAGTCTAATTTTAAGTCACCTGTAGTCAATATGTCGTTTCATCAGAATTTTTCATCCAAAGTGGTGCTATCATGTACATAATAGAGAGAAATAACCTCTTATGGAGCACTTGTCCATGAGCTGTTAATGTCATATTTGATATTATTTTAGTAATGTCATCAGTTTGCTTTCAAACAGGCTTTGTAGGAAAAACAGAAAATGGTAAAAAGAACAAGTGCAGTACCTGCAGCTTAGCCTACTATATGTCGTTATCACAATGTGCTCATGTAATATAATTTAGTTGGTACATACATGTAAGTTGAAATTCATTTAGAATCACGTCATTTATGTGATATCTCAATTTCTCCAATTTGCATATTGCATGGATTAAACACTTTATTAACCTCCCTAAAATTACATGACAACAGTTCCTATCCTTTATGTATTGTTATAATTTTTCTTTGTTTGATTTTTAATAAAATTATGAATCATTATTCTTTATAGATTTTCACATAATTTTCCCCCTACAACCCAGCTCATTTGAAAACATCATATATAAAGTTTCTTCGCACATTTTTTCATGTGACCTGTGATTTTCAAGTTCTACAAATATCAATTTTATAATTGTTTCTTGCATTTTCCCAGACACTCAGTATAAAACACTTTCTTTGCCTGAATTTAATTTTGGGCACTTTGTTTGTGGCCACTGCAGGAAGGATGGAGAGTGTAGCAACACATCTGTTTGTGTTTTTTGCCAAAAAGTACATTATTAATTTTGCATTGCCTAAACTTGAAGTTGTTTTATATAAATTGTGTAGAATTAAGGTTGGAGCATCACTGTTGCCTTGGAACTGTGCGAGCAA